ATATTTGGAACTAAAGTCATTCATTTTGTATCCAACTAACGAATTGCAGCTTCGTTTTTTATATTATTCATAGTAGATCTTAACTATCCGTAGACAGGCTTACAAGCTGCGGTTATCTGGATGTCACTTAGCTTTCGATCCGGTCACTATATGATAGGGCGACCGCATGACATTTACAACTGAGCGCTTCAGGATCACTTATGACGCTTTTCAATTAATGTATTTCACTGGAATTTATATAATTAGAAGAAACATAAGACTAATAACAAAACACTAACGCCTGTAACCTCCCTTTGTCCTAGTCGTTTTTTCTACATCCGTATTTTCTAAGACATTCTCATCTCTTACGGATACTTTCATATATAACATTTTTAAAGTCACTGACGATATTAAAGCTATTTAATGTTAGGAAGAAAATCCGAAAACGTGGCAGTGTATTGACCCTACACTAGACTTACTGAAATGTCGACGCTTGTGTCCCCTCACTATTCATTCTGACAGTGAGCTTTGTAACGCAAGCACGTCATTTACGCCAAAGCATTTTAACTAATATTATCTAAAATTATAAAGTAAAATAAACTACTTGTAAATAAATATAGGATAGACTATCTGGACTTATGAAACTTATTACCTTTCTGGTAAAAACATAAGTAATATATCTATTTATTTAGAGAATTCTTATGACAAAATATAGCGTATACTAAGAAAATCCATTTCGTATTCCTGACACGTCCCTGTGTGCAAAGAGACGAGATACAAATTCCAGAAGGAGCAAAAGTTCTATTCACTACGTATACATTTCATATCATGGATGCGAATAACTATAATAGAATTTTTCGGTACATCCATTTACAAAGTTTCAAGAAAGGTTAGAGAAATTCTTAATATAGTCACATTTTTAACACAATACTAACTGTCCCACGCGACTCCGTATTATCCGGAATTAAATAAAACTTAATAAGTAGTCTATGTGTTCTTCCAAACTATGTTCTACATCTGTGTTAAATTTCATCAAGATCAATTGAGTTCCGGAGATACCTTCAAACAAACATACATCCATCTAAACATTCGCATTTATAATATAAGTAAGAAGTAAGATTCATTACGAGAAATACTTTAAACATTTAGTCTATATCAATTTTTTACTTCTGTTTATTTATAGTCTGTAGAACAACTTATTATGGCTTGGCAATGAAGAAGTATGGAACTACATTTTTAACCAATATAATTTTAATATTCGTTATCGCCATATTGAAAAAAAATCTCCTTAAAAAGCTATCACTACCAGACAAAGTAAATTAGTTTTCTACTCAAAACTTATCTTCCAATTCATCACTTTCAATATAAAACGTCTACGAACTGTCATAAACATCTTACTGTAGAATGATAAAGCGTTGGTTTCTGAGATTAAAATCTCTGTATAAAACTTAGAAACCCATGATAAGTAGCAATATCCAATTCAATGATATGGAAATAGCGCTTAGAGATATATATGACAAGCCTTAATATAATATTTTAATTTTCTTTTATACAATTTAAAGGTAACATAGATTTTTAAATAACGTCAAACGAATTTAAAAAGTGTTGATAATAGTTGTTAATTTGTAATCTATTGAATGTAAACTAATTGAATCAACATCATTAAATTGTTCAAACTTTCGTGAGACATTATAATAAATTTATATAAAAACGGCTAAACAGCGGCACCGCCACCGGACGTATATACGTGTGTGTTTAGCCGTTTTTATATATGAATCATCATCACACAACAAAGAAACACTTGTTTACTGGCTAATTTTAACCCAAGCAGGTGTTCGAGCAATGTTCTGGTCAAGGTTGCGGAAGTATTCTAGATGCGGGTAGCACAGGATCATCGTGGTTATCTTTGGAGGAGGCCCAGCAGTGGGCGTCATGAATCTAATAATCGTGTACGTTATTTATGCAACTAACGTAGCACGATAAAACAAAACTGCTTTTTTGCCTGCAAAATTTAGAAACAGAATATTGCTCGTTAATAGGCCAAATTTTTTGCACTCGGAAATATTTGACTATGACGGTAGCGTGACGAAATGAAATTTAAAAAGAAAAAGTTTGTCAATTGAAGCCTTCCTCTGCAGTATATTTCAGCTTCAAAAATATGCTTTATACTTGTGTAATTAGGAAAACAAACAGCGCTTTTAAAAGTTGCTCTTTTTAATTTTCATCCAACTTTCTACATTTTGTTACGGAAATCTTTTCGGTTTTATTGTATGCATAACGTTGAAATTCATGTATCACAGCTTATATTTGCTACTCTTTTTATACAAAATGAATCAGTAAATTCAATTTAGTATACTACACTTTTTTCGAATTTAGAAAATGTAGATTTTTCAAGAGATCGACGACTGTTACGGTCACCATTAAAAGTAATTATTATGTACTTTTATTGAATATTATCGAATCTCTGTTATAAGTACATGCAAATAAGTCATTATGAACTTAGTTAACTCAAAATCCAACCATTGAAAATTTTCTTAAACCTACAACTTATTGAAAATTAACTTCTAACTTATGTATAATATATATTTTTGCTGAACTTATTACGTTTAAACATAAATAAGCGATACGTATAAAATTGATTAAAAGCAAAGCTATTAAAAAATCTCATATTCAAAGCCGACAGAGTGTAAAAGCAATTTCAAAAAGTCCATAAGCTTATTTATTTTTTTCATCCATATGTTAATCAAGGCATGTATTACAAAGTGGATTTTATCCGGAGCTTTGGCTTTACACGCTTTAATATAAACCCCGACAGCTTAGTGCCTAAATAGTCTGCATACAAAATATAAACGTTTGAAGTACAATCTAATGTCTCATAGATATAAGTTTATATAAGTAATGTTACAAATGCGAATTTTTAGATGGATGGTTGTTTGTTTGAAGATATCTTGCAAACGGCTGTATGGATCTTGCTGTAATTTGACATAGACGTAGAACATAGTTTGGAAGAACACATAGGGTACTTAAGTTTTTTTATCCCATGCGGACGGAGTCGCAGGCCAGCAGCAGGACAGCTAGTACATTATTGAAAGATAAACCAACAATGTAATTGCTTGACAGTAGGTTAACGCAGATATGTATGTATGTTTGTGTGTCCATTCCCTTGTAACTTTCTGTTGCGTGTATGGATTTAAAAGTTCATTCGATTCTTCCTTGTTGATTCATAACATAGGAATCTGGGGTTTCTTTGTTTTAAGGGAGAAAATTTTTTTTCTTCCTAGTATAGTGAATAACACTACACCGCCATCTTTCGTAACTATCAGTACTTAATTACAATCGGCTTCGGTCTCAGGGGATACAATATGTTAACGTGACTTGAAATTGCTTTTGAGAATTTATTGTTAGTGTCTAGTCGCAGCTCGCAATGCGCAACTTGCATAATAATACGTAAAATCGAATTTAATTTACATTACTATTACGTACCCTAGCTATTTTTGTATGCATACTATTTATAATACCAATCTGATAATGTCACTACACGGAGATTTATTACCTTTTAGTCGACCACAACAACCGTCTTGATGAACTGTAATAATAGTAATATATTTTTTCAGTAAAAAATAAGTATTAGCAAATAAATAATGAAACGTATATAAATGCTTAACAAAAACTTTGAGAATTAAATAAATATTTTGATATATTAATCAAATAATACTAAAGATAACATAGTACAACCCATTATAATTTAAATCTTTCGAGTATCATTTAATTATGCCATCACAGGGGACCGAAGAGCTGGCAGCTACCTCGGTCAAAGAATTAGTTTAGCTGTCCAAAGGGGGAACGCTGCCAGTATCTTCGGGACCTTGCTTAAAGGGACTCCTTTTAATAAAATATTTTAGTACATTATTAGTTTTTTAATATTTTATTTTATATCATAGATTTAAGACTATATGTAATTATAGAAATAAGGATGTATAATAAATTTATTTTGATTCATTATGCCATTACGTGGACTGCACAATTTTTTTAATTATTTTTTTTAATAATCATTTCTTGATAGAAGAATAGAAGGCATTCATTTTCGCTTTATGACTGGTGCTACGGAAATACTGCGTAATCGGCGTTGTGTTAATCGAAATCCTAAAGAAATAGTTAATGGAAAAAACTTGTTGCAATGAATCCTCAACGGGGTTCGATGATGCAACCTGTATTCGCCGAAATGTCGAAACGCCACTGCCTGTAGATATCCACAATTAAAGATGCATTGCCTAACTTAATCAACGAAGTAGTGGACGCACAGAAAAATATTTAGCAAACAATGCTTAAAATGTTAGACGCCTGTGTTAGTGTTAAAATGGATCCTAAAGAATCAATGTTAAAGGAACTTCTCTAGTAATATCCCAAATTTATTAAAAGTTAGCTAATAATTAGATAACATCATGAAAGTGTAAAAAACATTCACCGATCGAGTTAAAATATTTTTAGAAACAAAATCTGTTAATTTTATTCAAATGTTTTTAGAAAATTACAAATCTCGAATTCACGCTAAATAAAAAAATTGTTTTCTCTTTCAGAAAATTATGCAAATGCGATCAGCAAAAGGATTTGTTGAGATAATAGTCAAAACAAAATCTTTTAATATCTGTTGGAATACTGGCTTAAATTCTTTCTCTTCAGCCCGACCCTCAGAATAAATCCCTAGAATTTTAGTGAACTGTTGTTATTCGAAATATTTGCTCCGGTCACTTTAGTTTAGTTAACTATTCTTATATTTTTCATTGTTAAAAATTAATAACAGTTGTTACTTTTATAAAGGTGTTATAAGAAATGATAACACAATACTCTTGTTGGTTTTTGAGAATGTTTTTTCTTCCGATACGTTATTTTAAATTTACCTAATAGTTGATTATCGTGCGTAATGGGACTTATGCTTAGATTTACTGAATCGTTTTATTTAACCATAGGAAAAACAATAATTTAAATAGTGTCTACTACGACTTGATGTTTCTATATTTCTATCACCAAAACATTTCAAATTTTTATTACATTATTTTTTTTTTAAATTAAACATATTTTTGGACTTTCTTAATCCGCCTTCGTAATTTAATTCTGTTTAATCGGTAACCTCCCTGGGGAGTCATTTGGATTAACAAACTTGTCTTCCTCATTTCCTACGAGTATTTTCAGAGAAATTATAATTTCCTGTCATAAAACGGTTATAAATTTTCCCACAAAATAATTGATTATACTTTAGTTAAATGTTTTTTAATTTCACATGAAATATTTAAATTACACTAATTGAATATTAAAAATAAACCTATTATTTAAAACATGGTAATATAACGAATAATTGTAAGATAGGAATAAATCCCTTCCTTTTATTTTACCAACGCAGGTTGTAACTTAAATCCAGGCGCCGGTGGTGGTTCCAATAAGCTTGCTTGGCCACAACACGGCTCGGCACAGAATCTTCCGCTCCTATTAAAACAAAAGAACAGTAATAATTATTTAACAGTAAATAATTAAGTAACAGTAATAATTCCATAAGAAGAAAAATCGACAAAATAATACTTACTGAGGTCCTTGTGGCGGTATACATCCAGCTTTAAGTGCGTTTATTATCTCATAAACATTATCTAGAGTTAAATCTTCCTGAAAAGAAATACAAACCCGAAATTTGTAAATTTCTGTTTCCTAACGATCTGCTTTGTAGTGTCCAAGTAAGTCCAGTAAGCTACTTGCAATATATTTGTCTAATTAAGTTCGTTGGCCTTTCACAATCACCAAATAAACTGTGAATCACAAACTATTTAGGCGCAAGTATTAGGTGTCAGTTAATTTATTTCTTAGTATATCTTAACCATCATCATCAGCTCACTATATGTCCCCACCGAGGGGCTCGGAGCCAACCCTAAGTTAAGGGTGATTAGGCCATAGTCAAGTAAGTATATCTTAATACGAGTACCTAGCTTTAATGAGCATTCCCAAACATACGCAAAGAAATATTACAAGAGTATGAAGCATCATCGGCCGAAATATTCTACTCACTATCTTATTATTGATACATAATTGAAGTCTATTCAACCACCAAATAAAGAAAATAACATAACACTTCCAAAGAAATGATAGGAAGATAGTTTTAGTCCACGTCTGTTTTAGTAGAAACTAAAGTGACTTACGTAGTAGTCATCGTCGACCACCATTACCGGGGCATTGGCACATGCTCCTTGACATTGCACAATATCTACTCCGAACGTACCATCCTCAGATAGTCCTCCTGTTTTACATTTTGTCGCGACCTCTACCGCTTGCAAAATAACATCTGATCCACGAATCATACATGGTGTGGTTACACAAACTTTAACATTAAATTTTCCTCTATTGCGCCTGAAAATATATATTTAAACTAGCTGTCGCCCGCGACTCCGTCCGCGCGGAATTAAAAAAGAAACTATTGATCGCAGCGTAATGCTATATAGCCTAAAGCCTTCCTATATAAATGGACTATCCAATAAAAAAATAATTTTTCAAATCGGAGCAATAGTTCTTGAGATTAGCGTGTTTAAACAAACAAATTCTTCCGCATTATAACATTAGTATACATTGTGTACCACAGTCAACAGATATTGCCGAAAAAGGTTCCAAAACTTTTTTCTGAATTATGATTAAAACTCACTCATTTGCATACCTTTTACACATTGAATAGAAAGTCGCAAATTCATAAACTCTCATTCTTGGAATTGATAGAATCTCTGCTACTTTATGCATGGCCGATATCGGAATCCAGCCAAATTGTCTCTGAACTAAGTCCAACGCAGCACCTAACGCTGACCGCTGTGCTCCCTCGGGGTAGTTTTGAATTATTGCACACAAGCGCTAAATTACAAAACATTATAACATACATAAACCAAGATTTATTTTTAAATGTTAACGAATATCAACTACTTCTACTGTTCATTCCTAAATCAACGATTGGCTTATTTTATACCCACCTTTTTATCAATTCTCTTAGAGGAAAGTTTTTAATGAATACGTATGATCTTAAATGATGTTAATATCATACTGTGATTTTAACTACAGCTATGCATGGATGTCTGTGCTCGATAAAGTAAGGTAAAAAAATTTAAAAATAATATTATCTCTCATGTCAGTTTAGCTATTTTATAACATAGTATTGGTGTGATAGAGTATGCTATAAAGTTTGTAGAACTTACATTTAAATTGGCCTCACTAAATTCAAAAGGGGTTTTTGGGTTATTTTCGTGACCGTCTCTATGCACAACAAGCTCCTCGCTACGAAGCTGCTTTGAAGTTGAAACATTTCTAAGTAGACATTTCACCTGAAAATAAAATTCATTGATTTAATTTAATATTAAAACTAAAACTAACAATGTACTGTTGATAACACATACATTAAGTGATCTTAATTTATGTAACATTAACATTTTATAAAATATTTTATAGTTTTGAGAAGTAAATTGATAAAGTTTTTCTTTATTTGACAGCAACGAATGACTTGTCATTTTTTTCGTAACCTGTATTAAAAACTTTTTATTTTAAACCTTTTTTAAGCTAAACATCTAATTAAAAGAAAAAAAGCTCAGATGCATAAAAAATAATATTGAATTAAAAAACTCCAACCTAACTCTTGGTTTGTTTAATTTGGTTGTTAAAAATTAGCTCGTAATAGCGTATTCGTAGTAAATGCTATGTTATTTTAATCTTAGGCCAAGCCAATCTTTAAAAATATAAAAGAAAGTCGTGTTAGTTACACTATTTATAACTCATAAACGGCTTTACCGATATGGCTGAAAATTGGTGAGGAGGTAGCTTAGAGCCAGGAGACAGACATAGGATACTATTTATTTCGAATTTATGCTTTGAAAAGCTGCTTTTTATTTAACTCACTAACATTATAAATGGGTGGATGAATGGGTGGGCTACACTAATTAAGTTTTTTTATATATCCACGCGGACGAAGTCACGGGCGACAGCTATAAATTCTATAGGACGTAAACTTTCAATCTCAGGTAAGCATAATGATTGTTATAAGTTGTAATATGTTTGCCGCAATAATGTAGTCTTAGACGCTGTTACCTGTTAAAGATAAGACACGTGCTTAGAACCAACTTGTAAAGTAATGTACGCAGCAATTTATCGTGTGCTAACATAGTTTGCTCTTGTTACGTTTAAAACTCTTTAAGATTTTTACATAACCTGATCCTTAGTTTAGTAATAACTTGGTACGTATATTAAATTGTCACTTAATTTTAATGTTTATATTTGATTGCGAATTTAGATGTGTGGATGGATGGATATTTGTTAGAAGGTATTTCCAGAATCGTTAGATGGATCTTATTGGAATTTGGCATGCATATAGGTACATAGTTTGAAAGACGATATAGGCTACTAAGTTTCATTTTAAATTCCGCGCGAACGGGTTCACTAGCGACAGCTAGTAATTGGATAGATTTTTCAGAAGTGCTGGTATAACGGATGGTCCGTAAATGTGGTAATAACTGTTGAAAAAGTTTCTTAGTTTGAGCTAGAGTGCTTTAAAAATGATGATGATGATTAAAAATACATTTTATACGTCTTTAAACAATAATTTATCGATATCCATTTCCCTAATTAATTATACAATGCCGTAATTATATTAATTTTATTGCAAAATTTGTTACAAGATATCATAATAGTAAATTCTCGACATGTATTCGATATAACTTAGAAAGGTCACGTAATAACGTATCAGTATAAAGCTATAGGTGCTACGAACTGTATGCATAAATTTTATAAGTTTAGTAATTAACGGATACTTGAGACATTGGAGAGATAACATAAATTATTGTAATGTATTATTTCTTTACTTTTAAATTAATGGCATATTTCGCGATACATGGTGAATTACAGTCTGACTACTATTACGTACTGCCTAAGACAGAAGTTTTCGTCTTTCCCTCTTGTAAAAATGTCTTAAATAATTGTAAATAGACTTTTACACATACTAAGGATAACTATAAAAGAACATTTTTTCATCCAAAAATGAACATAGTATATATCTTTTAATTACTACATTTTAAGATCATTTCATAAAAATTTAAAATTATATTGCAATTGATAAAAAAACATAAGTAAGTAAGTAAGTAACCAAACAAACTTGAAGTACGTGGCCAGAGATAGACTGAGGTGGAAAAAATTACTGATCCAAAGCCCACAAAGAGCTGTAGAGCTAGGAGAAAAATAAGAAAGAAACTTGAAAATCAAAACGAACAATTTTACATAAAGAACATACATTTATTTTTGTCTTAACACTATCGTGAGACGTCTCAAGAAAAGATGCATTTTTAAACATACATTGAAATAAAAAGGCATTGGAAAATGAGCAAGTTAAGTATAAGCTTTGAAGTGAAGTGCAGCTTTGATGTGCAAAACAGCAAACCCTCGCATCTTAGAAAAAAAACGCACCCTAGAGCAGTGGCACATACCTTGATAATATATTCCGTGTGTGGAATGCGTAATTGTAACTTAACAAGACATTTTATGATGAAGCTTATTTCGCGTGGAACTAAAAAAAAAGTTAAAAAGCCTATGTGTTCTTTTAGGATATGTTCTACATCTATGCTAAATTTCAGCGAAATCCGTTCAGCTGTTCCGGAGGTACCTTTAAGCAAACATCCATCCATCCATCTAAACATTCGCATTTATAATATTAGTAAGATATATCAAATGTTTGAAATGGATAAACGACAGTCTAAGGGAAAGCGATATTTTTTCTCGCGTAAAAATAAAAGTGTTTGTGGTTTTTTTTTCTTCAAATTTAAAATTATTTGGGTTTTTTTTAATTCGAAAAATATAAGTCTGTAGCTTTTATGTATACTTAAATTTCATTTCATTAATTTTCACTATGTAAAAAAATCTGTCAAGTCATATTAAGCACGATAAATTACACGTTGTTATTTCATTATAGCTGATGACTTTGTTTTTTCTCGTATGTACGTGTAAACGAACGGCTTTGAAATTTTGATACTTTTTGTAGACGACTTTAAAAAGCCTCTCATTTAATAAAAAGCCTTTTAATAAATATCTTTGTTAAGAACATAGGCCATCATAAAAAATTACGCAATTTTATGATGAACAAGGTTTCAGATTTTTATTTGTTGTGATAAAAATAGATTTTATGAAAGGATCTTGACAAATTCATTATGCTTGTCCAATAAATATTTAAATTAAAATTTGACATTTATTTCGTATCAAAAACTTTGGTAATATGAATTCTTGCAGGCAATTTATCGACATAAAAACTATTTGATAAAATCCTCTTCAAGCTCACGTCGGCCGCACTTGTTCTACTTAAATTATGACTGTAACAAGGGCGTTTTTGTTTTCAAGATTAACGACAGAGCTATTGTATAAAAAATCATGTTCTTGGAAATTCACATTTCATTCGGTTTTTTATCTTCGGTTCTTGCTTTTGTACAAAAATAACTTTCATTGTTGGTAATCTATACTACAATAATAAAAAAATGATTTGATTGTCTGTTTGTTTGCATTGAATAGGTTTCAAAATTACATTGATTACATTGTATTGAGTCTATACAAAGAAGATTTACTTATTTCTATTTTAATGGACCAAATATAAGAGTACCTTATTCCGACCGAATTAAAGCTGTTAACCTTATGAAGTTATCCGACAGGCGTACATTACTGGACATGTCTTTTTTATATAAGCTATTAAACAATCTAATAGATAATTCAGATCTGCTTAGTCGTCTCACCTTTGATGTCCCAGCTCGCTTGCCGCGCCACACAAAGACCATTCTAACCCACAGAACATATAGAACAAATTTGGGCCACCATTCTCTAATTCCGAGGTTGTGCAGATTACTGCAACACTTTATAAACAACGATAGCTCCATCGATATATTCCATGACAAATTACCCATATTTAAATCAAAAATAGTTGGTGTATTGAATCCTAGTGATGTCGCAGACGTCTAACATTCTGTTTCTTGTTTTGCGAAAGTATGTATATTGTTGTATACACGCTTTTAATTTTGGTTTAATTTACAATTCGTTTTAATACCTACTCATTTAATTCAGATTTTTTAGTTAATTTTGTTTGTAATTTTCATACTCTTTTGTTTTTAGACATGCTGTGTTTGTCTGTAAGTGAAATTACATGTTTCCATAAGAACTCATGTACTTTTATTGACAAACCAAATAAATAAATAAATAAATAAATTACTATATGAATTTGAAAAATTATTACACTGTTATATAATATATTATATATTAGTGGATTTTAGGTTAATCCGAACGGATAAAGTCGCGGACAATTACTAGTTTGCAAATACTATAAAAATAAAATTAAATGCTCACTTAGGTAGTAGATTTTTTAAAGTACATTTTGTTCACTAACTTTCTTCGAAATTATTTTAAAGTCAACGCTATGTAATGTGACACGTATTCACATAGTCAAGATGATTAGTTTTTTTTAATAGTTTATATAGTTTATTTTTTATTTTGGTAGAATAATTAATTAGTCACTTAATAATTAATATAGAGTTAAGTAATTCTTATTGAAATATACTTATTTTAAATTAAAAATGTCTGTAATTTTACTCGATCCTTGAATATCAAATATCACGATTATCTATATATAAGTAAAAATACTCGTATATTAAATCTGTATTTAATAACATCCTTTGTCACAGGATTCGAGACGAGTCAACAAAATTACATACTTATAAATTCTAAAAGAGTTAAACGTATTTAAGTAAAGATGAATACAATATAAAATTCACTTTAATTTCAAAAATAACTTACATTTTATGTAGTTGAGATAAAATAAAATATACTCCTATATGTCCGGGATTGCACCAGCCGTTTGCAATAAAGATATACGTATGAGTTTTTCGTGACCGGAGAATCGATAGATTTATTCTTTTCTGTATTTTATTTGAATCTGTCCCCGACAGGCAATTCTGGGAACGTTCCTTACTTTTAATGCTGTATTCACAGATTAAAAATTATTTAAGAAAAAAACCATAAATTAAGCAAAAGCTGTATCATAAGGTTTCAAAGTAAGGTAACCAAGATTCATTCTAAAACTGTAAACGAGATTGTAAAACGTTGATCATATATTACTGCGAATTTAGGTTAATTAAGATAAAAAGTTAGTTTTAATTTTTATATTTTGGCTGGCAATCCAGAACCGTGCAGTTTGCGCGTAACTACCTGCCTCGCACAGCAGCGTTGTGGAATGGTCTGTCCTCGGCGGTATTTCCAAACCGCTACGACTAAGGATCCTTCAAAAAGCGAGCGTATCACCATCTCAAAGGCCTTTTTTTCCGAGGGGAATGCTTTAGGCATACTCCGTGCCTCGGGGAAGACATGGTAGTTATGTGGGATTCTCTCCCCGAATGGGAGCATACCCACTAAACC